AACAAAGTGCGGAGTTAATGCTGCATTTTGGTGCACTATTATTAAATTATATAATTAATAGTCTCGTATTGCATGTATGATGGTCAACCCATGGCCAGGAAAAAATACTGGAAGGTGCCTTAAATAACAAAAACGATACCATAAATAACTAAAACAAGGTGCCTTAAATAATGATGTTCTTTTAGCTGACTGCGATTTAAATCTGAAACGAGTTCGCATTCATTTGTCAAACAATACATTATTAAGCCGAATGTCCACCGCAAACTAAACTAACTTAGTTTATCCTTAGCTTGCATAGCTGAGCCAGTTTTTTATACATGTGTGTCCACGACAAACTATTCCAGCTAAGCTATGTATGTATGAAAAACGGGCTCAGCTATGCGAGCTAAAATAAACTAAGTTAGTTTAGTTTGCGGTGGACGTTCGGCTTTAGTGAGACGCATCACGTGAGAGAATGAAAATATAACAAATAGTACATTTTACAAATGTATTTTTATAAACATTGTAATTAGGTAATAATATTTCTGAATAAGATGGAACGTTGTTTACAGTCTGTAAATAATAATCGCGTGAAAACTCGAAACACTCATCCTTATAATGTTCGAGTACGTAACACGGGACTTACACCCCGCACAAGGAAAGTTTCTGCTGCACAAATTATCTCTATATTGCATTTTTGAATCGGGACGTAAATATAAATAAATAAAAAACTAAACGGCACAAAAACCGTAAAATTCTTTTTATTCATAATGATTATTTATATGCAGTGTTCGTGTAAATATAAATAAAAATCATTGTCATAATCATAGTCACAGGTACCACACCAACAGTTTCTTAATATAAAATCTTAGTGTTAGTTATAATTGAAAGGATTCAGTACTATTCATTTATTTGATTCCCATATTTAAGTTGCAAGATGGTGCATTTTAATAAGTACTGGGAGTTAATGAGTAACATATAAGCAAACTTAACTTAACTATTATATATATATAAGCCTCATATTTATTTTAAATGTTTACTAAAGTTTAACCAGACAAAATAGAGTCTTAAGAATTAAATAGACAGGAGAGAGAGAGAGAGATGAACTTTTTATAGAATAAGGGTGACAACCGAGCACACAGTCCACCTGATGGCAGGTGAATGCTGTGGGCCATATATATATTGGACTAAGACGGAATACTTCGTATCCAGTAAAAAGGGTTTTCGATTCTCTCCACTCACCATACGAAACAGCAGTGTTAATTAAGCTGCTATTTCAAACTGTTATCCTGTGAGAGCGTTTTCGTGTACCGATCGACCCATGTTACGACCATAATATAGCTATAACATGTCTCTACCACGTAAAAAAAAGATTTCCATAAAATGAGCTCAGGTTAAAACTTAAGTCTAAGATCCGCAACTTAGTAGTTGGGCATTATTACCAATATTCTATACAGTTACAACACAAGGACGTTTGCGTAAAAAAGCAACAAAGTTATGATGTTTTTTTACCTTGTATCTATTTCCTTATCATAAGCAGCTTAACACAATCCATAGATCCAGGAGATAATAGGTATTATTTTATCATCTATCAATCTTAGTATTTGTATTTTCCTCCTATATATTTATTTTATTTACGGCTAGTCATACGTTCTTGGACTTTCGGCAGGCATATAGAAACAGGCATACAACGAGAAGATTCCACAAGTGTGTCTGTCACCAAAGTTTTCACAGTGACTATTTCATGCAGATAATTAAAATTTGATCTAATTACAATATGCAAGTTGCTAAAATTCCGAATTTTTCATTTGTCAAATAAAAGCTCTTTGATCAGGAATATAATAATGTAATATATAAAAATTAATTTTTGTTTCTTGGTGTTTTGGGTTACCGTTCATCAGATTGCGGTAAAACTTTGTCAACATATTGCTTACACTTCTGCGAATTGTCTTTCAGTAGGTGCCATGCGTATCGTACCGACAGATTTATTTGAAAGTTACAATATATCATTCAAATTCAATGAATGTATTATCATTCCTATTTAAACAATATAACTCTTTCAAATCTTTCCACAAATATTTCTTCTGCGGCAGCAAGGCGCCGGGTACCAGTTAGTATAAAATAAAAATCATTTTAATGTTAATTATTTGAAATTTTTTTTTCAAAAAGACGGTTCCACAATTTTGACGAAACTTCACATACACTTTCAAATTCCATACTTTAATTCGCATATTTTTCAGGGACTTCTTTACTGAAACAGACTATTTAAAATGTTAATATGTTGTGTTGTAATATGACGATTTTTTTATCATTTTTAACAATAAAATATATTGAAAAAATGTGCTGTTCATATTTCTATATTATTCAGTCTATTCATTGGCATAAAGTTGAAATGGTCAATTTTATTTTTTGGAAATAATATCTATCTATTACAGCACGTAGACGTTACCTGTATCAACTATAAGTATACTTGACTGTTTCTTTTTCGTACTAAAGAATATAAATATAAAGAAAGAGGTACCTATGTAATGTTTTCAGCTGAACCTTTTTATTGATATTGAAGAGCAAGATGACTTCAGATACATCTTAATTTCCTTAGGCGGCATTGTATATCTTCAGAAATTGTATAATTTCTTGTTTACGAAAATCTACTTTAACAAACAGAAAACCTTCTAAGATTTGAAACAATGCCAAAAGTAGCAAATTCAAGCTAGAAGATGTTGTAATGTATTGTTGTTGTGACAACTAACTAATTAAATATATTACTTGTAGATACATTACATACTCACCTATCATTATAAGATTATACATACCTAGCAATAACACAGAATAAATAATAATACAAAGCTTGCAAAAACTCAGACAAAAAATAAGACACAAATAAATAATTTGGCTTTTAAGCCAGAGTTAAAATAGATTTTTCGTTTTTAGATTTGGTTATAAATTCTTACACTATTTTATTTACTACTACGACATAATTACCATATTTTTACATACGCTCCTGATCCGGATTGTAGATGGATCTGGGGCAAAATTAATAATATGACTCATTCTTTCGAACGTATCACTTTAAAGGTTAATAATGAATTACAGCAGACGGGTTCTTTTTAGGAATAATAAATTATGTACTTGTTTAATTAATTTTTAATTCGAATGTTATGTACGTTAAATATAAATAATTATAATACACTTGTATTATTATTTGGTAAAAATAAGTCTTTTCTGCAATGAAGCGGGGTGCCGAGAATCCTAAAACATTATTATGGCCGCACTGACAGTAAAATCAAAGTTCCTTCCAAACTATGAAATAAAAGACGAGAAAAAGTCCAACCAGGGGTAGGATTACCTCGCAGAATAAATCTATTTAATAAATATATTTGTTGTAAACGTATTCTTATCACTTTATAAATAGTCCAGCACAGGATTTGTCATCATCGCCAATTTTGTCTCATTTGTCGCAATTGTGTGTATTAGCGATCACAGTAACAAACGTCTCACACCTTTGGCATTGTTTTCCATCGGAGGTATTCAACTTCATCAAAGGTCTTTAGGATTTTTTTGCATAAACACTTATATAACTGTAATTTTGTTTACAGCTTCATACATGAAGAAGTGTGATTTAAAACACGGATTCTCAGATTGTGTGAAGGCGCAAATAGAAAAAAGTTTACCACTTTTTACAAAGGGTATCCCAGAATTAGGGGTTCCTTCCACAGACCCCGTGTTACTTGACGATATCAGGCTCGATGGAAATGGTCTGAACTTATCGTTCACTAATGCGGCCATGCATGGGCTCAGTAAATGCCTTCTTACACAACTAAAGTAAGTATAAAATTTGACTTACTATCTAACGAAATAATGACAATGAGGACTTAGTTCAGATAAACACGCGTAAGCTCTGTAACCGTGCTTAATGTAGCGCGGTCATGTCTGAGCTCGCAAACTTACTAAAACATTGCAATCATGTCCAATTTTGAAACTATTATAATAAAAGTCTGTTTAAGGCTTTTTATTCTTCTTGTTTGTTGCATTATTTACATCTATGTTCTGTGCGAAAAAATCTTCTAGTTTTAATTATAACGTAATGTTATTTGTAAACGAAACAGGTAACATAGCGTACGCATATGCGTGTTATTATTGTAGCTAATACTGTATATCTATCTGTAGTTTATGTACGTACGCCTGTGGAATACAGAAGAAAATCCTAGCCGCTACCTCACAATAGGATTTTCTTATAAAAACTAAAGTGACATACGGTGGCTATTATAACAGCCTACTGCAGTCTATGGACATTTCAGCATCCCAGCCAACTTCAATCAAATAAAGGACTAAAAATTTTTGTAATAATAAATAATTATACTAATTATGTAGCATTAAGGTATATATTTATGTAGTAGGTACATTTTTATAAAAAAATTTGCGATCAGCCCTGGCTTCGCACGGTTGATTTCAGAATCCCGGCAACAGCGCCACCTACCAGGTCCAAATGTGAATCTAAACAATCCAGATACCCATTCAAACACACAAAAAGTATCACCAAATTCGGTCGTGCCGTTTTTTAGCGAAGCTAACGGACAGCAGTTGATTTATCTTTATATATAAAAATTACGTGCCACATTGTTTGTCCGCGATGGACTCCTAAACTACTGAACTGATTTTAATGAAATTTTGCACACTGTGTGCATTTTGGTCCAACTTGAAAGATAGGATAGTTTTTATCCCGATAAATGACCCTCAAAATTTTTTATTGCGAAATTTAAGGATTTTACATAGGAAGAGTCGTTGGAAAGGGCAGAACAACGTCTGCCTGGCGAGCTAGTATATATAGAGATGATACTATTTATTCATTACCAGCATTGTTGTTAATACGAGTACTAAAACTATTCTATCCGTTATCACGTATATCAATATGATGAAAACTAGTAGTGTTAATAATTTACTCGAATATGATATATGTATCATGATTGCACATTGGTCCAGTGTGTAAATACATATCAAATCAATAATTTCTTTTTTATAGGAGAGGCGGCAAACGAGCATGCGGCATTGTATGTAGAGTCCATAGTTTCTATGGACTCTACATACAATCCTATTGTATCACTTTGCGACACAATAACAATACCTTAGACGCTAGAAAAAATATTGTATGTTAATCATTATTCCAAGAAAATGATGCAAGCGGTAATGCATCGTGGCATCCTTCATTAAGTGAACTTTTGATTTGCAGGGTAGATATTGGTACTGAGGAAGAGGAATTCGATTTAGCGTTCAAGGGCAACTTGAGTTTAACTGCTAAATATAATATCGACGGAAAAATTCTCATTCTGCCAATTGTAGGAGAAGGTGATGCGACGGTCATTGCACGTAAGTAATTAATTCACAAAGCAAAGCAAAGCAGCATGATACGAGTATAATATACAAGTACATACAGTTACAAGTTGGTTAATAAAAATGTTTTACGGCTTGCTTTTTATAAATGCTACAACACTCTTCATTTAAATTGCCATAGTTTATTTAAGTAACAAACTTTAAGATTGTTTTTGTAATATACTACGCTAGGATTTTCTCCTGTGTCGTGGATGCAGTTTACAAACATAAATTACACAAGGACAAACATCCAGACCCGGAACAATTATTTATACGCCATATAAATACTTGTTCCGTGTGGGATTCGAACCCGCGGTCCTCAGTGCCGCAACTCAATGCTAAGCCACTGCGTCACGGAGCCGTCGAATACCCCGTTTTACTTTTTTTTTCAATAATAATTAATTTCTTATAATAAAGTTAAACAGGTGGCTATTAGTACTTTCATAAATATCTATACGATATATTTTCATCCACAGAAAATATTGAGGTGAACATACAGAGTAAACTGGCTCACGTTAAGGACAGCAAAGGACAAAGCCACTTAAAACTTGTTACGCCCAACTACAAGTACGACATACAAAGAACAATTTTCGACTTGAAAAACCTGTTCAATGGCAACAAAGAATTAGGTGAGACATTTTCATATAAATTCAAAACTATAAATATCCCGCGGAATTTTTGTGGCAAAATCAAAACGAGGAAAACGGCAAGTAGGTAAAATGAAATAAAGTCTGTTGTTGTTTAAAAATGTATTACCAGTTTCTCTGTCCGCAAAAAATACACAATAGTTAAACAATCGAAATGATCATAAATGATTCACGGGACAATGAAATGGTTAATTTGCGATTGTATGTAAATTTGCATAATTTTATTGCTTTATAAATTACTTTAAATAATTTGATATTTCATATTTTATGTATTAGAGATATGTATGATATAGATTAATGTATAATGTATGTGTGGCCAAAAACCAGGCTAAGGGACGCGCCTTGGAAAGGCCTATATACACCAGTTACTTGATTGTCTCGTTAGTCTAATGGTCACAAACGTTCCCAGTTTAGCACAAACTGGTTACTCATAAGGTCCCAAGTTGTGCTAAACTGGGATTTTCTGCCAAGAAATTCTCAGTAGCAGCCCGGAGTCAGCAAGTAAGAAACTTGCCGCCTGACCGAAATTCGGTCAAGAGGACATTATTATTATATACAGCATTGGACTGCCATGGGCTGATTATGATGATTATTATGATATTCATTAAAAAAACTATCAATTTACAATATTATCGCTATGTTTTAAAAATTGGTTATATTTATAGCTTCTACTTCACGAAAAAAGTCCGGTAGAAAATATGCAAACAAACTAAAATGAACTTTTATAAATAACCGACTTTAAAGAACTAAAAATAATAAAATAACTTCCACATGTTTATTTTTATTCAATGTCTTAACACCACCTTTTCCTTTCTTCTTAGAAGTAGCGGCACGAACGTCTAGCGGTGACCGTTATTGCGCATAAGTCGCGCTGATTGGCTCGTGCGTATCGTTCGCACGCGCTGATTGGCTCTCCAGTCGCATTCGTGCAATTCAGTTCGTGCGCGTCGTTTCCACATTTCTTCAGCGCTAGACTTACGTGCCGCAACTTGTAACAGTTAATTTCTTTTACCCTTTTAAGTGAACTATGACAAGCTCAAGGTAACAAGTAGAATGTCGTCTGAATAATTGCACGAAAAACTTCACCCACATTTTCGTTAAGAATGGAATGTCTTCTCGAAATTTATTTGGGTCCTCGTCTAAAAAATAAATCAGCATCATCATCACACTCATCACAAGTCCACTGCTGTAGGCCGCCCCCATTGAATGCCACAAAGTGCCATACAATATATAAAAAGAACAGATTATAGTCAAATTGAAAACCTCGACGCGGCGCAAATGATTTTATTTTCTGGAAGAAACTGAACATGAAATTCCCTTTTAATTAATAATTAACATTTCTTTGGCAGCTGCAACAACGCTGACCTTCGCCAACGAGAACTGGAGACAGTTAATGGATGATTTATCACCTCCCATCATCAAACAAATTGTCCGCACAGTCGTCAAAGCTATCAACAAATTCTTCTCCAAAATAGCCATCTCTGATATGATCTCGGGATATAACTAAATAATAAGTAAATTAAGTTATACCTCTCGCATCGAGAAGGTTTCGAGTATATTAAATATATTTTTATAAAATAGAAACTATTTTTAACAATCTTCTCTTATCAAATATTTATTTTCTAATACATGGATCATTTTGGACTCCATTGTGATATTTTTTCTTTTTCGCTCTTGTTCACAGAAAGTATATTACTACGAGATTATTGATATTCAATACGTCAAGTAATTGTAGAAAGAATTTTGTGATATATTTTGTAGTATGATTACAAGATTGTTTAGGTATGTTTTGATGTTTGACTTATATTGTATCATAGTATATTTTATATTGATCTTATAAAATGTATTTATACTTCAAGATCTAAATGTACGATATCCGTTATTATATAGATGTTTGTTATTTATAAACCGGTCTATAATGATTATGTTAAAGTACCTATATATGTTTTATTAATAAATAAGGCTATTTTATACAAATGTTTTGTTTTATATTATTTTACTCTATACAGCAACTAAATAAACATTTAACTTTAACACGATTCTTACTCGTACTACATAATTGTGTTAAAATTTAAAAGGGTTTGTCCATCTCCTCTTCACTCTCTCGTGTTTCGCAAAAATGGACCACGTACCCGTAATATGCCTTTTTTGTGCCACGTATTTTGCCTCCGAAGAACGTAGATTGGCATTGGGAAAAATGTGAGACATTTTGAGACTGTTCTGATACTATAATATGTACAATATCATACACTGACTCCCATAGATATAATTTAAATTGGCAATAAATTATATCTATTACACTAATTACACTCAATATACAGTTTGAAAAAAAATAGAAAAATGAAATAAAAACTAACTAAAAAATCCGTGAACGATGTGATGCGAAAACTCGACGCAGTACTGCAGCAGGTCTGTTTTTCTGCTTAAAAATTTGATTTCACGTCTTATCGCTGTAATGTAAAGTATTAAAAAGTAAGTATTTAAAAAGTTACAGAATTTTTAAAAATTCCTTTCAAAGTATTTTTTTTTATAGAATTAGGGTGACAAACGAGCACACAGTCCACCTGATGGTAAGTGGTTGCTGTGGCCCATAGACATCTACATTATATCCTCGATTACGAATCAAAATGCAGATGCATTGTCACCCGTGAGGACTAAGATGGAATGCCTCGTTTCCAGTAAAAAGGGTCTCCGGTTCTCTACACTCACCATACGAAACACAGCAGCGTTAAGCTGCCATTTTACGCTGGTATTCTGTGAGAGCGTGGTCCTTCCCGGGTCGAGCCGACCCATTCGTGCTACAACTATACCAGTAATATAGCTGCAGCATGGCTCTACCACGTTAGTATAAACTAATACAAGTATAATGGAATGTTATCCAGACCTAATTTCGGTTACTGCGTCCAGTCTCAACGGAGACAAGCCATATATACAGAACAGGATTATAGTGCGAGAGGGTATGCGTAAGCACAGGTGCACTTAGTCCGATAGGACTGCAATCCGATACGACCGGAGAGAAATCAGGCGCAGGACTAACGGCTTAAAGTGCTTTCCGAGGCACGAGGTTAAAACGGGTTTGAGAGTAGAGATAATAGACAGTGCACCTGTGCTCGCGCATGCGCATACACTCCGGCAGCGGTCGTGTCGGATTTTCATTTCATCGGACTATAAGAGCGAGAGAATAAAGATTGTGCCTATGTTCTCGCACACACTCTTATATTACAATTCAGTTCAACGCAGATAATTAGTCCCCGTTGAGACTGACCGGCTTGATCGAAATTCAGTCTGGAGGGCATTATTTTTATTACCAGTTGACCGTAGAGATGGTTGTACCTTTCTATATAGGAAGTAGACAAAAAAAATTGGGCCATTACATCTCCCTGATTTTTCGGCACCCGGACTAAATCATTAACAAACTTTTAGTTATAAATGGCTGTGCGGTGGTGACGTGCCTTTTTAGTGGATACGAGGCATTCCATCTTAGTCCTCAGGGGTGACAACACATCTGCATTTTGATTCTTAATCGAGGATAGATGTAGATGTCTATGGGCCACAGCATCCACTTACCATCAAGTGGGCTGTGTGCTCACTTGTCCCCTTATTCTATAAAAAAAAACTTTCAATAGATGGCGAATCTTGCCATGAAATAAATTTTATTTCAAATGACACTTCATTTTAATAGACGCTAGTAATTCATTTATTTGTATTTGTTAAACAATAATATAATACCGATTGCCGATTGTTTATCAATAATAATATACTACAAAAGAACTTCGTTCCAACCAAGTGTTCCACGACACACGGATATTTTGTTTTTTAGTATTTGACTAAAAACTATACGTTTGGCAATTTTACCAAAAAAAATCTTTTATTGTATAGAACTCGCCCCCAAACCCGACCTGCCCTGTGGGATAAATTATTTTCTGTCAGCACCAAATGGAGACAAAATGATGTAAAAATGAAAAAAGATAGGATTTAATATTTCACATATTATGTATATATTTTATTATTTATATTAAAAACAATCAAAAAATTCTTGCGTTTTGCAATTTTCGTGTGTTCATAGCAACTAGAGAATTACTTAGGTCACTGTTCATAGAATGTCTGTGTCATGGTGAAATTGTCCACGGAACTTGGTTGCGATGACCTCCTCCACGGCATCTTGGGCCAGAAACGCTTATACCATAAAACTCCAATAAGAGCCACAACTAGTACCGCTACACCCAGTGATATTCCGACTATACCAGCTGTATACAGCGGTGCCGTGGAAGCTGGAACAAAATAAACAAGCAAAAGAAGTTCATTAACTTTTTAGTCTTCTTCTTCTTCATTGCCTAATACTTAATGCCTTGTTGACGCCTGTAATACCCAATTATTATTAGGTGGATAATAACTGGGTATTACATGAGTTATCCTTGTAATATTTTAATAAGAAATATCCGTCCCCCCTTACTAAACATTTTTTTTTAAAACGTAACCTCCACGATAGGATTAATTTTCTGTATCGTGGGGTTGAGGTGGATGGTGGAGTTTACACGCATAAAGAAGACAATCGTTTTTGGGGCCACTAGAAATTTTAACGTAAATTAATTTTAATACACATAAAAAAAGAAACTATTGGTAAATCCAATCGTGCATGCCTTTAGTGAATTAAAAAAATTACGTATACATCAACAGCATACCTAATTTTTTTTAAATAGTTTAAATATACACAAGTTTTCACTAATAACCTTTTTACTATACTTCCAATTTTCCGATAATTTTATGTCAAACTTCAATTAAAAAAAGTTTGGTAAATCCAAACGTCCACGATTCATAATGCTGATAAAATAGTAAAAAAATTGAAAAAAAAATGTAAATTGTAGTTCTATACGTCAAAAAGCAGTCACCGAAGTACACCTCCAAGTCACTCCGTCAAGTCCGAAGGTATGGTATATTCATAACTTACAAAACGAGCCCAAACTCGACAAAATGTCACATCTAGTTTTCCTCGTCGAGGAGTTCCAATAGCAGTCATCAAAATCCACCTTCAAGTCAATCTATCAATTCAGAGGCGGATTAAATGTCAGCTACGCCCTAGGCTAACCTAGCATCTCATCGGCGCCCCTCTAGGGGCCATATTGTATCTATTATAAATGAAATATACTCAATAAACTATATTATAATTTATAATATAGTAATAATTGTAAAATAATTAGGATACGAATACCATTAACAGGGGGCATAAATGAAAAATGCGATGAGAGAGTAAGAGAGATTTAGGAGTAATCAAATACAACAATTTTTTTTTTCCTTTAAAAACCTCAGCTCGTGCTTTTTTAATCTTGCGCCCCTAGGCACGTGCCTAGTTTGCCTTAAGGACAATCCGCCACTGTTCGGAGATAAGGTCTCATCATAACTTGTTTGTTTTACTTATTACAAGCATGTGCTTGACCACAATCCCACCTGGTGGTAAGTGATGATGCAACCCTAGATGGTAAATCGCACTGTCTTAGCGTAACAAAAGCCTATTCACTCTTGTCTTGAAGACGCCCAGATTGTATTCGGTCGGATAGACGCCGGCAAATTATTCCACTCCTTTGCTGTACGCATTACAAAAGACGAAGCAAACCTTTTGGTTCTAATGCTTGGAATATCGACAACAAAAGGGTGAAGACTCGCCGACCGCCTGGTTGTCCGATGGTGGAACTAATAACAAAACGAGCCCGAACTCAGCACACCTATTACTATTACTACTCTTTGAGAAATTCCAGTGTCATTCACCGAAGTACATCTTCAAGTAGGGGTAAGGTCTCATCATAACTAACATGATGAGCACAATCTCGGTACACCTAGATCTACTCATCGAGGAGTTCCAGTAGCAGATATCGAGTACACCTTCAGGTCTCCATAAAGTCCAAGACATATAAGTATATTTACATATAAATCCTGCGTACTTTTAGCGAAACAAAATATTGTAATAAAAATCTATTATTATAAAAATAATAATAACATATTATCTTACCTGGGTCAAGTATGTATTTGATTTTTGGAATATTTTGTATTTCTAAAGCGATCGATATTTTTCAGCACGAACTGCTGTAAACAAACGACTACTCACGACGACGGCTGAACCTCGAGCCGAAACAACTAGAAACAGTCCGGAGTAAAAAGTACTCTATGGCCCGGAGCCCGGAGTGAGGCAAAGTGTATTTAGTAAAATAAATTAATGCAAGGCTGCCCAAAGCACCGAAAATTTCGCTATTTCTAGGACGACAAAAATTAATTATAACTAAACAAAACAAAATTAAACTGCCATTTACATTCCATGGCTTCCCACATGATAGATGAAGAGTTTAAAAAAATAGATTGAGTTGAACAATTGATATTTTCAAAAGTTATCGTGTTTACGTCTCCATGCGGACTAGAAAAATCCACACCTTATGCCACTAAAACTGCTTTTTTTATATAAAAATAGCAATTAATCGGCTTAAAAAAAAATAAGTACAACAATAATTTATCTTTCTG